GTTTCTTGGTTCCATTCCGTGTATTCTATGTATTGAGGGACAGTATGTCAGCTGTTAGTTTAGTGCGTATGCTGTATCCTGGGGAATGGTTCTCCAATCATACAGTGTACTGTCCCCAAGTTGTCACATTAGCTGAGTCTTTAACAGGTTGTACCATCATTCTATTAAACTGGTTGCTTCTAGGTCATGAGGCATATGGTAAGATCAGAGGATTCTGTGGTCTCATTGTTATATGTCGTTTGATCTCAGGCAATGTTGAGTATAATACCTTGTCAATAAGCAAATCCCTATCTAGAGTAGATGTGACTTTTGGTAAGGATAGATCACTGTCTTTGTCAGTGTAGATCCTTCAAAGCAGGAGCCAAGACAGGTTTAGATATGCAAGAATATGTTGAAGGAAACATCTGTGAAAGAAATGCTGGGAGGCAGCAGAGTAAGCTGGGAGAAACTTCAGATTGCAATACAGGTCTGGTCTGACACCTGTGAAAAGGAGGGAAGGGAAGATTAGGAAGGAACGTTTAGACTTCAGTGAAGTTCTTGTGAAGTCTTCCCAGGTTCATAGGGAGTTCCTGAGCAAAAGTTTCCCATTAAGGAATCCCACTGGACAGGAATCATCGGTCTCTAATACCACTGCTGTGCTCAGTAACTGGCTAGGAGAAAAGCATGTCCTTGGCGTGGCTACATGAATCCAAAGGTGTAGAAGCTGGAGGCTGACAGTTAACTAGGCTCCCCAGAAGTTTTTCTGAAAAGTAAACCTGAACAGTGTCTTCTCATGGTTGCCACACTGTACATTTCCGGGAGGAAGGAGTCCTATGTAGTCAAGCTCTCAGTCAGGTAGTCTTCTCCTGGAATGGTGTCATCTCAAGGGCTCAGTACTGATCTCTACTGCTGGCAGGTTAGACACTCGGCAATGGCACCAGTGAGGTCAGCCTCAAGGAAAAGGAGCCCATGCCTAGTCTCTGCATTAGTGATCTATTGCTGCATAACAAAGTACCCCAAAAGTTAGTTGCTTAAACAACAATGTAGGGCAGGAATTGGTGCAGTTTAGCTAAGTGCCTCTGGCTCAAGCTGTTTTAAGAGATAACAGTCGATCTGTTGTCTGGGACTGCAGTCGCATCTGAAGGCTTAACTCCTCTTCCCAGCTCACTCATGTGGTTGTTGGCAAGCCTCAGTCCCTCAGCACATGGGCTTCTCCACAGGGCTGCCTCACGACCTGGCAACTGGCTCTCTACATAGTGAATGACCAAAGAGAAAGCCAGAAAGAACACAAAGGGTGGAAGCTCTTTGTGTGACCTGATGTCAGAGATGACATCCCATCACTTCTGCCATAGTCTAGTCACTAAATGCATGTTCATGGAGAGGGGATTCGCAAGCGCAGGAATGCCAGGAGGCAGGAATCCTTACTAGCCAACTTAGAGGCTGACTACCACAGCCCCGGTCTCTGCTGCACTGGCTGCTCTGTTCACAGGCTTGCCCTGAGGTGGCTGAGTAGACAAGCTGTTGGACGCTCAAAGTACAAGTCGTGCTGTCAGCTTGGTTATTGACTGTTTCCACAGTGGTCGTTGCTCTTTGGTGGACATCGACGTGAGACACCAAATCACAAGCTTTGTGTACACTCCTGGGGTCTTTCCCTATTTCTTTTTCTGCCAAATTTATTTCTTTTGGGCCTCTGATTAACCAATCAGTCCATCTGTCAGTGCCCAGGAATCCATACTACAGGCCACTTCACCCTCCATATAAAGCCACTGACCAAGGGTTCTGCTAGCAGCTTTGCAGCAGGGGGAAGATTTCTGTTTCCAAGTGTCCTTTAGGACAACCTCTACCTGGGCTATGGTGCAGCAGCAATTTCTATATAGTTAACATCAGCTTATTGTACTGACCCACCTGTGGATGAGGTCCGAATTTTTTTCTCCGTTACAAAACTTTGGTCGAAGGGCATCCTCAGGGAGGCCATCGAGTTGAGAGAAATGTGTTGGTGAAAACAACAGAGTTTGATGTTCTAGGAATTTACATTTGACTTCTGATCCTGCTCAAGCTCAATCCCAGATGTACCATTTTGTATTACTATTATGCCCTCAGAATGAATCTGATAATATTCCTCTGATAATTGCTGGCTTTGTCCCTATAGTTTCGGTGTTACATTATCAATTCCAAGTCTCTGCTAGGGCCCAGAGTGTTTCTGGAGCTGTATTTCAAAACTGAGTATTTCTCTACCGCAACAGGCATGACCTATATGCTTTTTTCCTCTTTGGGTTTACCAGAGACTCCGTAGAGTATCCTTAGCCACCAGATACATCAGCATCATTGGATCTACTGGGTCATATGGGCTGAATAGCAAAGGAGCTTGTATTGTAGCCCAGACTGGATGCAGAACCCCACTCTTGCTCTGTCCCCCACTTAAAGCTGTTGTGTTCTGGTTCACTTGGCTAATCTGTCAATAATATTCCCCAGTGCAGCATATTACTACCCCACTTACTTGGAAAGTGATTCTGAGGCCAGGAGTGAGCAATGGATAAATGAAATAGGGAAAGAAAAAAGAAATGCAAGCATGGATTATTGAGTTTGTCGCCTGCTACAGGTGGCTGATATTTGATTCCATGGAATCAGCTGAAGAGTTTTATGAAGTGTGTCTACTGCCTGGAGAGCTAAAGAGGGGGAGCGTTTGATCCATAGGCTCTTGTTCCCCTGAAGTACTGGGTTGTGCATACATGTGTACTGAGAGGTTTCCCATGCCAGTCTCCTGTCTCTGTGGGGCTCTGGCCTAGGCCTGAAGCAAGGAACTTCCAGATTGCAGTCCTGCAATGCTGGTCAAAGCCTGAGTGTGATTGGGTGCCACTGCAGTGGCTCCAGTTACAGGGAAGGCCAAGAAAATTTGAAAAAATGTACAAGTGAGGGTGAAAAAAGTGGAACTTCTAGATCTCTTCAGAAGAGGTGCAATTTCTAATGATGAAGGAAGCATTTCAAGTCTTACCAGTACCCAGAGGTAATTATTAGAGACATTTCACAAAAATATACTTTTATCAACAGTACATCTTTATTTAAGTTATCTCTCCAGGGATGTCTTCTCCAGTTGGCCACCTGGTTTTATTCAACAGATGTACAGAGTCAGAGCAACTGCATGTTAGCTCTATACAAGTCTCACTGCATGCAGGGTTCCAGGGAAGGTAAAGACATGACCAGTCTTTAGTTTGTATCAAAATTAAAAATCTATCTCAGTTCCATATTTGACTTTTCTTCAACTCAGAAAAATACTTGCTATGCATCTCCTAAGAACTAGGCATTAAGCTTGGTGCTGGGGAGACGAAGATGAATGTATCGTGGCCTCTAATCTTGAGGAGCTTGGAGTCAATTAGGAAAAAATGGCATGAAGGGATGGCGAAACTGAGTTCATAGCTCTGTAAGTAAGCGTATGGGGAAAACAACTTCTTATTACTTGAAAGGGAATCTGCAGTATTCTTTAGTAAAATATCACCACAATCCTCCAAGATTAGCAATGGAAGGACTGCCACTCAGGGAGGAGACAACTATACTTTCCTCTTGCTCTGACAGATTCCCCAGTCTTGGGGATCTCTTCAACCGTCAATCTCAAATGTTGATAAATGTATCCCTTACAGAGTCCCCTACAGATTTATTCCTATAGTTCATCTTAGTCCCAGGCTGGAATATTTAAACACAACTCAATTAAGGTTTAGGAATAACAGAACAAAAGGGTGCCAAACAGTGAGAAATGCAGTTTACATAGTTCGTATTTATTTTCTTTTCTTTTTTAAGTAGCCCAGTGTGGAGCCTGGATGGAACTTAGACTCACGATCCTGAGATCAAGCCCTGAGCTGAGATTAAGAGTCAGATGCCTAACTGACTGAGCTACTCAGGTGCCCCATCATGTACATTTCTATGTTCATGTGAACGTGTATCCTACTGTGTTCATAGTTTCCTGTTTAGGATCTCTTTCCTAGATTACTTATTTATTTAATGAACGCTTTGTATGGGACTTATTAAGTACCAGCACTGTCCTAAACACTTACAAATGTGAATTTATTTAAGCTTTATGAAAGCCTGATGAGACGGGTATTGTTAACACCCACATTTTACAGAGGGAAAAACTGGGGCATAGAGAGATTAGTAACTTGCCCAATTCTATACAGTAGTAAAGAAGCAGAGCTATGATGTGACCTAGGCAGTCAGGGTCAGAGTTCATGCTCTTAACCACTACTCTAAACTCCTGATACTGAGAACAATTTCACCTGATTCCCTATCCATAAGGGTGGGGCCCAACTCCATGATTGTAACCCATAGCCTTAAGTGTACGATATAATATAGACAGACACTGATAAACATACTGTCCTTGAGGGCCTGCACCTGGGCACACACAGCAGCATCAACTGTCTTTGGATTATGGTAATTACAGTAAAGTCACAAAATCATTAAAACAAAGAAAAAAAAAAACAGGGACAAAAGTGTAGAGATGGAGTTGGGAGTTGGAAAAGCCGTTGTTTACATCAGAAAAGCTAGGTTGGAAAAAAAAAAAAGAAAAAAAAGAAAAGCTAGGCTGAGGGAAACTCCTGCAAATCAGCACAAAACTTAGCTCTGAAATTCTGGAAGTCAAGGCCAAAAGAAAAGCCAAAGAAAGCCATTGACTGGCTGAAGGAAGATCCTGGACAGTAGCAAGAGCCCTGGCTGCACAATCTTTTGGTTGTCGCCCCTCCCCCCTCCCGTCCTCCCCCCTCCTCTCCTCTCCTCCCTCCCTCCTCCCCTCCTCCCCTCCCCCTCCCATCCTCCCCCTGCCCTCCCCTCCCCCCTCTAGTCCTCCCCCTCTCCTCCCCTCCCTGCCCCTCCCCCTCCCCCCTCCCCCGTCCTCCCCCCCTCCTCCCTCTCCTCCCCTCTTCCCGCCCTCCCCCTGTCCTCTCCCCCCTCCCGTCCTCCCCCCTCCCCGCCCCGCCCCTTCGGCGTGGTCTGGCTGCGGGGCGGTGCCGGGGTCTGCGCATGCGCGCGGGGCCGCGGCGACTGCGCCGACGCGACCGCGACCTCGGCGTCGGCTCCCTCCGCGGCTCCCCGGGCCTCCACCCCTCCTCGCGGCGCTCGAGGGACCATGGCGGATCCTCGCGTGAGGCAGATCAAGATCAAAACCGGCGTCGTAAAGCGGTAAGGAGCGGCGGGCGGCGCTCACGCCAGCGCCTCCTGTGCGGCGGCCCGAGAGACCGGGCGCGGCCAGGCCCGAGGCGGGCTCCGGGCCTCCCCGGGGGCTCCGCGGCGGGCGGGGCGGGGACGCGTCGGGGCGGGAGCCCGCGGGCCGGGACTCCCTGGGACCCCCCCCCCGCTCCCCCTCGCTCCCCGGAACCGAGGCGTTGGGCGCGGTGGGCGGCGCGGCCCCGCCCCTGGGGCGCCGGCGGGGGCGGCCCTGTCTGCGCCGCTCGGCTGCGGGAGGCGGTGCAGCCCGCGACCTGCCCTGGGGCCTGGAGGCCGGCCCCGGAGTTGGGGACGCGTTGTTGGGGCAGCGGGACTCGGCGTCCCGGAGCGGGGGCGAGAACTTGCAGCGCGCTCCTCAAACTTGTGCGGCCTGCGTGCCCCGCGGGGGCCCCGGAGCCGTGCATAGCCTGCAGGATGCCCCCCGGCCGGAGTCCCGACGGGTGCGGACGTCGCCGGCCTCTGCGGCTCGGACCCAAGGCCATCCATCACACTTCTGGATGAGGCCGCCTCGGAGGAGAGCTCAGCAGCCCCCTGAAGAAGCAGGTGGTTTTACAGTAGAAATAAACGTCTGATCCTAGCCGCCTGGCTGCCTCCTCTCTGCCCACCTTTCCTCCCTTTGTTGATGTTTCCATCCGAGGAAGGACGAGGCAAAGGGAAGAATAAATTCACTTACTAAGATCCTGCCCCTGTGCCTTAGCACAGGTTTGCTCTGTACTTTCCTAGAAACTATTGTTAAGGCAGTAAGAAGATGCTAAGAGTAGTAGTTAAATGCACAACCCTTTTTCAGCTGAGGCTGGGTTGAGCTCTTGATTCTGCCATTTATTATGTGTCGTTAGGTACATTACGTTGCACCGTGCCTCAGTTGCCTCATCTGTAAAATGGAGTCAGTATCCACCTCATGTAGTGGTTGCAAGGAGTACTTGCTCTGCTGTTTAATACGGTATGTGGCACATAGTGAGTGGCCACTAAGTGTTAATAGTATTGTTTGTGTTCCTGTTTTACAAATGAAAAAAAAATTAAAAAACAAAACAAAACAAATGAGAAGCTGAGGTTTAATGAAGTTAAAATAGAAAAACTTTTGCCAGTTAAGTGGCAGAACAGGGAAAAGGAGTTTCTGATCTACAACTATTTCCAGCTGCAGTGCTCTAAAGTATTTAAAAAATGTGTGAAATAGAGGAATTGACATGTATAATTGAAAATATAAGTAATCTGCACTGTCACTCACACTAGAATTCTGTTCGCATTAGCTGGATTCTGATTATGTCATTTTAGTGAATCTATTTGAGAAGTACCATGGTATCGTGGGGAGTGCTTTAGGCCCAAACTCAAGAGAAAGGACTCCTAATGGTAGTTTTCTGTTAATTACCTATATGATCTTATCATTTCTCGTCCTAATGACCTACACCAGTTTATAAAATTAGTTCTAGTAGCTATATGCTTATTAAACAGATTCTAAGGGCGCATGGGTGGCTCAGCAGTTGGGCGCCTGCCTTCCGCTCAGGTGGTGATCCCGGGATTTGGGGTGGAGTCCCACATCAGGCTCCCTGCATGGAGCCTGCTTCTCCCTCTGCCTGTGTCTCTGCCTCTCTCTCAGTCTGTGTGTCTCATGAATAAATAAGTAAATCGTAAAAAAAACAAAAACAGATTTTAGAGAAAATATAGCTAAGTAATTAATAAGCTGTTTTTAGGCTTTCAAAATTGTCAAGTACATATGGAAACACCTTGGAAATAAAGTTTGGTTTTCAATTTATTTCAATAGTAGAGCATTATCAAACTTTAATTTTGATTCTCTGTACTTCAGTACAAAAAACATTGTTTTTGTGAAACTCCTTCATAATTTACTATTTGCTTAAAATTTACATATTTATTCAAGTTGCTTATAAATTTCTGGAAATGCCTATCACAGATTTTTGTCATGGCTTTTCTAATGACATTTTGGTGTAGAGCTTCCCCATTTGTACTAAGATTCGTTCTTTAAAAAACCTAAACTTCTATTTTGTGTTAATTATGAATATTTTACCTTAGTAGACAACTGTCTAAATCTATAAATAGTATTCCCTCTTCTGTTATTTTTTGCAAAAAAGTTATTTAATATGACTTTCCATCTGTTGCCTTAGTATCCTATTTTTAAAATTCTACATCTTCAGCAAAGAAAATAGTAGATAATGCAGATACAGCGGCAACATATTACTAATTGTTAGGACTGAATGATCATGAGCTTCATTATGTTCTCTATATATGTTTAAAATTTTTCGTAATAAAAAGGTCTTCAAAGGTATGCATTTCTCTTCCAAATTTAGTTTCAAAGTGTTCTTGATTAGTTTCATGATTCAGACATGTTCTTGGTTTTGTAAGTAGGCTTCTATTCATTGGTTCCTTAAAGCAATGGTCTAAAAACCGGTTTCTGTTCTTAGCACCTTTTTTTTAGTCAAATGTTCATTTCCCATAGCTTCATTTCTCTTCAGAAGGCCACAGTTTTATTTGAAAGAAGAGATTTAAGATCATCATTTCTGTCTCTAATTCCTTCCGTTTTTCTCTGCAGGAGTTGAGATCCATTAGAATTATATTCTTGTTATTAGTCCTAGAGTTCAGTTTTGATGACTGTCCTAGGCACAGTGGATTCTTAGAATTTGGTGTCTAATCAATCTGCTAGAATACTTCAGATGATTCAGAAGTTCCTTGCAGTGCGTTTCAGTAAGAAATCTGGGCAGGGAGGTGGAATGTTATGAGATCATGGAAATAGGCAATAAGTAGAGGACGGTATTTGGCAACAGAGAGGTCAGTGAATGAAAGATGCGAGTTTCAGCATGTTGGCAAAATTGTGAAGGCAGTCTAGTGATGGCAGCCACATTAGGAAAGTAGGAGCAAGTATCAAGGGCTTTACGCCCTAAGGAAATAGGTAGAAGCCTCACAGCACCCTGGACCTAAAGAAACTTTATCTCATATAGTAACAAAGGGAAAGGATCCAATTGCTGGAAATAGATTTTAAGAGAGAGGTTAGAACCCTAGGAACAAGGAAAGAGTCCAGATACTAGAATGGCTTTTAAGGTAAGAGACAGCAGTGAGGCTAACTTGGTACTGAGCCTCTGACTCAAGGACTCCTTAAAAATCCCCTCCCAGTTACAGGATTGTTTTTCCAGAGCTAATTATGGCTGTTAGAGATGAGTGCAGTTTCTTCAAGCAGCAGCCTTTGTTCATGTGTGACTCATTATTTAATGAGTATTAGTTGGTAGATTCGAGTCTAGAAGGTGCTTTTTAAAGATACAGATCCATGTGTCAGGCAGATTGCTAGACCTACTAATACCTGTCACTGGGTCATAGCTAATGTAATAGCCTAGCAGGGAGTTACCAAACACGACTCCTAAGTTTTCTTTCTATTTGCAGAACTGAGAGCCCCCCCCTTTATTTTTATATATTTTAGGCATCAGTTGTCCCAGTTTACCTGGGATTGAAGGGTTTCTAAGATGTAGAATCTTCGGTGCTACACTGGGAAAGTCTCAGGCAAACCAGGATGATTCGTATTAGTACCTCTTCTGTAACTAGCTAACATAGCACTGTTTTGTGTCCCCTGATTTATTTGGAGACTATTTGCTGATAATACAACTTTGAATTGCATGATGTACCTTAAATTAAAATTTAACTATGTCCTATAAATATGAATCCTTGCCAGAGTAATTTTCTGTGTTAATTTAAATTGTTAGTGATTTAGAAAATAACTTTAATTAAAGTAGAAGAAAATATAGGCTCAGTGTTTTTAATGTTGATACGGTATTTCAGCTCAGTGACCTATGTCTACCATAAATTCCCAAGTAAGATTTGTGTTTATAAAATAAGTGGTTGGTTGTTTTTTTTAAACTAAATTTATGGTAAATACAAGAAATGCTTCTGCAAAACCAAAATGTTGTCATGCATTTAACATAAAAGTTTATTTAATAATCTTAAAGCCAACCTATTTTCAATTAAGCTCGCTAAACTGGCCCACTGGTGGGTGAATTAATTGATTAAAAATACTTTCTTAACTATATCTTTTTATAACCATTTTAGATTGGTAAGGGTTTAAAATCCAACATGAACAAAGAGTGTTAGGGCATTGAAATAACACTGACATTGGCCCATAGTTTTCCTCTGATTAAATGAAAGTGACACCAGTAGATTAGAATGAGACTAGGACAATTCACACTGCAATTGTGTTAGTTTAACTTTAACAATCTTTTAACACTCTTGTTTAAATGTAGCTGACATACCATAATTACAAATCTACAAGCCTTGATTATAGAATTTTACATCATGAATCAGAGGGGAAATTGTATTGATTTCTTTTTTTTTTTTAGAGCAAGTACCTTTCCCAAACTGTCACATCTTCCCAAGTTTGTCTATACCATTACCTCTGATACACAATTGTGTATGATACATATATACTCTGTACAGCAGACCTAAAAACATAAAAGGTAAGTAAAATTTTCATGTTACTAAATATATATTTGTATATAAAGTATATAACATACTATATTGACATACATTGTTATGTATACTGAATATATATAGCACACTGACATAAAAGTGATAAACAGGAATGACATATATATTGACATAGATACAGTTCTCTCCCTGTAGTTTTAGTTGTTTATATACTTCTTATACGTAACATAAAGATGGATAGAAGTATGGTAGGCAGTATCTGGGAGAGGTTAAGGACATAGCCCTGAAAATTTCCTGTAAGCTTTAGTAGCTTTTTTATCTTTTCTTCCCACATCATACCCTTTTGATTTGAGTTAAAATAAGTTCAGCCAAAATAGCCAACTTCCTGCCTTGAAATTTGGCCAACTCCTTTTGGAATTTCTGTAATATATTCAGTTCTCCAAAGCAGTGGTCAAAGGCACTGTCAAAATGGATTGCAGGTGGTCAGCTCTTCACCACCTTCTGCCAACTACTTGGCAAGCAGTGACTTTTAGAAG